CAAAAGGGGTCGATTTTTGTTATTTTTTAGCAGCCATGGAGCGGTAGCGCTCAAAGGGAGTCTATTGTTGAAGTTCACTGATACAGTGTCTACATACCCTATTCGAGAGCGTGACACGAATATAATGTACCCTTTCTTTAGCATTGCCGTCAAATACCGAGCAATATACTGTACGCAGGTCAGTGATGACGTACGTATAACAGTCGGTGACACACGTCGGCTGTGATCGTGACCACACCTTCATTTCCCAGCATGCATCGCACGTGTGAATGTAATTGTCGCATCAAAAGAGCAATTGAGGAATGTGATAGCACCCTCTAGTGGTACATGCATTCATTCTCACTCATCGTAATACGTTGCATTGTATTATTTTAAAAGGTCACTCAGTTGATTCGTGTACACTGTGTTTTATTTCTCAAAGCAGTGTTCAATAAATAGAGCGAACAAGATGTAACGTGTTTGAACATGAATCGCAATACCGCAGAACCAAACTAGAATGCCAGTAATCCACTGGTAGCATTTAATAGAGGCGTATTCCATGACGCGACGAAGTATACAGAATTGTTGTGCGTGGGAGCTACGACTGAAAAAAAACACACACACAACTAAAACTAACCATCTACATAATAAAGAATATATTTTCAGATTCTGGGTTTTCATAATATTTCCAAGCGTAATTGGTTGTATAAATAGCATAATTGTGATTGACATAAAGTATAATTATAATTCAGTAACCATTAGTGGACAATTAAAAGTGCAAAGTAATAAAATAAAATAACATCAAGGCAATTGTATGTCAAATGACATTCTGTGTATTTTCTAAATTACATGTAAACGAAAATAATCTATGTACAGTTTGGGGATGAACTCCACTACGGCCGAATAAATATCTATTTAGTGTATCAGGTGTCCTGATTTTCGTGTGTGGCGGCTTGTTGTTATAAAATGACCAATCTTATTCAAATCTGATGGTATTTTTTTAAATTTAATTTGTCTTTCTATATATAATATTTATTCTTATTTTGTTTGTATATGTAGATTTTATTTATTAGTCTTATTTACCCTTATTCGTTTTTTAATATCGAGTTTCGAAAACAAAGAAAATAGTTGAACACTTCGGATAGCATTGACGTTGAAATACCATTATACCAATGTAATATAATAATATTACTAAATTGTGAAAACTATTTGACCTAACAGGAATCCTATTCGTTGCAAGATATAACAACATAAATTATTGCAATTGTTGCTACTAAAACTACTGAAAATATTGTCTCCAGTCATATAATATGTTGCTAAATGTTTAGGTCCACTGATTATGACAAAATAATCAGTGTATAGTTTGACAAGGTGATATCATTGATTTGACAGACCATGTTGTTGATTTGTATGGGTCATATTGTTGATTTGACAGACCATGTTGTTGATTTGTATGGGTCATACTGTTGATTTGACAGGTCACGTTGTTGGTTTGTATGGATTATATTGTTGATTTGACAGGCCACGTTGTTGATTTGTATGGATCATATTGTTGATTTGACAGGTCAGGTTGTTGATTTGTATGGTCATATTGCTGATTTGACAGACCACGTTGTTGATTTGTATGGATCATATTGTTGATTTAACAGGTCACGTTGTTGATTTGTATGGATCATATTGTTGATTTGACAGGTCAGG